TTGAGGTCAATATTTTGAATTGAATATATATATATATATACAGATATAGTTTTGCACACAAAAACAGTCTTCATTTATTCTTCTATTCTTTTTCAAGTAGACAAAAGACATGGATACTTCCATGTTTGCTATCGCGTTGGGGCACACACATACAAATACATATTATATATATATAAAGAGGAAAAGAGAGGAAGAAGAGTAGATCCGCTCCGGAATAATTCGAAGAGGAAGACATCCAGAATCGATAATTGACATCATGAGACAGAAGAGAGAGAGAGAGAGAGAGAGAGAGAGAGGAAGAGGCATGCTTGACAAGAGGAGATGCGCGCTTTCGCACACTTGATGGAATCGATGAACGACAATGATGATGAATAAGAGAGCGTAGTTCAAGAAAGAGAGAGAGGGGGGAGAAAAGAAGAAGTCAGTTTCTTTTTCTTATATTCTACTAGTACTACAACTCATATTCAACATAAATACATCTATTGATTATGCAAAAAGACAATTTCATTTAGAATTCACTTACTTCCTACTAATCTACTATCTTTGCATTAAATTTACTTCAAAACCTTTTGATCTATAACTACTACAAGTTCTGTGCTTTCTTTCAAGTCATCATTCTTACTTACTCATTTATATACATTTTACAAAGAAAAAAAAAGACCAATACCGGAAAAATTAGTAAAGGAAGTGCTATGAAAATCAAAGCGACGCTAATTTCGACTAAAACCCTCCTTGCTGCTGTCCTTATACAACTAACTTCTGTTATGCCTATATTTCATTTTCTTTTACTCTTTTTTTCTCGTTACAACAACAACACTTTCCGATTGACTTTTGTTCACAATACACAACAGATACAATTGACTCCATTCAAACATCATAAAAAAAAAAGAAAAGAGTGTGTACCTTTTTTTTTTTCTCTTTTAATCATTAGACTTAAGTTAGAAAAAATAACTTTCGAGACTAATGATAGCAATAGAGAGAAACAGAATAGAGTAGAGCGCCACTAATTCGATTATCTCGAATTGCAGTCATCGTTCGTCCTCAAATTAACATGTTTGATTTTTAACGATTAAGCAACATTCTCATAATTTTTCTCTATGAATATAAGAGATAGAATATGAGAGAGATCAAAGCAAAATAGACCGAAGTCAATGATAATAATGATGATGACGGTCGATGATCAAGTACTTGGCATAAGTAATTCTCACTCACACCCACTCATTCTTTAACTTAGTAGAACAAGAAGAAAAAAAATCTGTTCTACATCAATAATAGATACAGCATTAAAAGGCTTACTAACAACATCATTTTGTAAACGTATGCATATGTGTGCATGCAAACTAAGTAAAAAAAAAAAGTCAAATTAAAATAGCCCATAAGAGGTAGTTGACGTCGTTACTATTGTTTGATGTCTTTATCTATTGACAATATTACTCAATAAAGTGAATGAAACGATTAAATTGAAAAAAGTAATCATAGTCTATCGGAAAAAACTCCTTAATCGTTTTCTCTTTTATCTTTATCTAAAGTATTGATTCCATTTTGTTCCTGTTTCTATTGTATATATATATATTCTAAAGTAAAAGAAAGAAGAAAAAGAATTTATGTAATCAAAACAATTATATACGTTAATTAAAGAATTCAATTATTTAGCATAGATAATGCGATGGGATAGTCTATTCGAACAAGATGTTAAAGAACTTAGATCTGATAATATAGAGAACAAGCTTCTTTCCTTCTTTTCTTTTAATCTTGTTGATTATTTCTATCTCGATTAATACATATAAATTAGAAAATTTTAAATGTTTTTAAAAGTAAGATCTTTCTCTACTTGCCTTATCTATAAAATAATAATTATTATTAGAAACAGAAAAAAAAAGAACTTGCCTCTTGAGCAATTTTATAACAATTATTGAACCCTATAGCACATTATAATTATTTTGGGTTATTGTGTACCATATGTAGTCAAAATAGAATTCGTCTTCCAATTATCAATTATTTAAATGATTAGGAAAAGAGAGGGGATGTTATTACCATCCTACGCATATTATTCATTCCTTATTAAACATATGGATGGAAATTATTTTCTTGTAATAGAATATTTTAAAAAAAAAAAAGAAAAGAATTGTCTATGGTAAAGAAACTAAACTTTTATAAATGACATGACTATCTACAAGAGTGTAACAAATTGAAAGACACATGGGACGTAATAGCATTTCATTCAGGGAATTTGTCTATAAGACATCTTCTTTGCTTTTTTTGTCGATACAAAACTATATTTTGAATATTAGGTATTTGATTATCAAATAAGAATAAATCATTTTTAAATAAAGTATAGAATTTCTTGATTATCCAAGATATATTGTATGCATTAAATCATCTGAGAAAAGAAAACCTCTAGTTTGAATAATGATCGATTTATCTGATTTGATGATGTTGCTGTCATGATTGAGATGTATCTCTATTATTTGAATGATTGTTTAGTTTTTCTAAATATCTGCAAATAAATAAAAAAACAATATTGACATCCGTTTATGTCTTCATTCATGTTAGGAAAAAAGCAATAGGAAACCAAAAGTCTCTATGTAGTTTACATGAATACTTAGAACAAAAAAGATTTTTATTATGATAATGTAAGATATAATTGAACACTGTCATGAAAAATGTAAGAATTCACAAAGTTCATAGCGGATATTCACTATAGACAAAATTGAAACTAGTTCTTCTTCCGTTTCTTTTATTTATGACCATGCTCTATTACGAACTCAATGCCCTCAGGCTACAGAGAAATATTATCATATCTATTACTAACTAAATAAATACTCATTTCTTCTATATTATTCGAAAGAAAACAATCGATCAGATGTCACATATACGACATCAAATATTTCGTGATCTTTTCGATTAAAAAATTCAAATAAAAACTTTAATCGAAGTATTCCGGTTTGTTTCGTAGTTATGGTATAAATTCTCTTCAATATAATTATACATTAGTATTTAATTCAAATAAATATATTAATTGCATATAAAATGACTGCTTTTGACAGAAAAAAATTCGAAGTAATGCATTTAACTTAAGTGAAAAGAAAATAATTATAAGTTAATTTTTTAGATTGATATTATCGTGCGTTAGTATTTATTACAATTATTATTTTAATATAAAAAAAAACATGTGAATCATATATTTGATCTTTATTCGATTTTTATAACTAATTTATCGTTTTTAATTTGTTTTATATTGAGAAATGCCAGGCATATATATTCTAAATAATCATCTACTAACCTATTAAATTATATCTTGTCGGATCTTCAGTTTATTGGTCTGTGAAAATATTTTAGATCTTTCTTTTCTTTTTAAAACGCATGTCATACTATCGTTTATCATAGATTTGTTGATGTAACACATGACTTATCAATAAATAATCTTTGTAGTTCTTGTTTCGATTGAATAACAGACAATATGGATAATTAGAATAATTCTATGCCTGTTGACCGATAAATGGCAAATATAGGTTAAGATTCTACTTTGCTAAAGGATAACTTAGATGCAGATTATAAAAAGTTTAAAAATCAGAATCTATGTTCTCTGTATGTAAATATCTGCTTCAATAAATTTACATATGTATCTTGTATAAATTAAATTAAATACAAAATTTCATATGAAGTAGATGTCACTAGTTACCATACATGGTGACAATGATTTAATTGTGTAATAACAAATAAGAAAATCTTACTAATTCAACTTAACATATAAAATCTTTAATTAAGAAACAAATTTTATGAGAAGGCATATTTGACACAAGTCAAACCAACATCATGACGTTGATTGGATGTAATGCTCTTTGTCCGTTCTTTCTTGGTGGTTAAAATAAAGTGAAAAAAAGATTGATATGCATTGCATTGCACTGATTGACTCAGACAAATATATTCAGCGAGACCAATCTGTAATAGTCATTAGTTGGTTAGCGGTTTACGTAAGGGAACGAAAGAATCTTATATTATATCGGTTTTTTTTAGTAGTATTTCCCAATTCTTTGCATGATTTCTTTGTCTCTTTATTTCATGTACATATTTTAGTACGAGATCTATGAATGACATACTCGTGAATAACATATGTAAATGAAGAGTACCGTTAAAATTCAGAAACATTAATGAGACACTGTACCCTACTTTCTTCTAGCTAGTGTTGAATGAGTAATGAACAAAAAAGAAATTGCAGATCGTATCTGAACGTTTTGAAATATCTTACGTTATTTCATAGAAATACCATGACAATTGTAGAGAGAGATAAGTGTCTAGCGTAATAATAGACCCGTAGCGATACGCCCATAAGGTTACCTTCATTGGTCCTTGAAAATATTTATTTCAATAAATTTTTTTTTTCGTTTTTCGATGAGGTTAATAGTATTTTATGTCATTCATAAAAGAACCGTTAAAGTAATGTTTTCTTTATGAGAAAGGTATGTAGTCAAATTATTATATATATATTTTTTCTAATAAATAGTTCTTTTTTATTATTTTATATTCAATGACATACGCTACGTTGTCATAAAATCTTATTTGCTAACCGCAGAGAACGATTAAAAGTTAAACATAAGATGTTTTCTTTTTTTATAAAATCAGATTAAGTTGACTTCTATTTTTTCCTTTCCTTTGCTTAATGTGTGTGTATATGTATGTATGTATGTATGTGTGTCTGTCTATTCTCTTCCTTCTCGAGTATGTATTGGGTAGCCAATGATAGACAGAGAGATGGTCATGTATATAAGAGAGTGATTTTCGTTCTTTTCCGTCGGTTTGTCCTCTAGTGCATCCTAATCGTAGCGGTCGTTCTTTGTCTATAGCGTTCACCGATGCTATCACATCGCTCTATGTATATATGACCATAGAAGAAGGAAATGGCAGTGAAAGAAGTTCAGCATGAGTTAATAATTTTCTTATGTTTTTTTTTTATTTTTAGATTTGTATTTATTTAATTAAGAGAAAAAAATAATAATTCAATGACAGATTCACTAATTGATGATGAAATTGTTGATGTTCGATCATCTACGAGTAGACCAGGCGTAGCAAGTGCTACTTCATCAATAACAACAACACATCGTCGACCAATGTTTATCGAAACAGAAGTTCGAACTGATACGGTTACGACACGTCGAATGGCATCGGCTGCTGCAAATAAAAGTGTTCACGATGTACTTGAAAATACCAAATCACCTAATCAGTAAATATTATTTTTTAATCAAAATTTACATATATACATATATAAATTCTTTTTTCTAGTGATCGCCAATCAACAAGTTATACTTATGCTCATAGGTTCGTATTAAATCGAATACTTTGAAGAATATAACCATGAAAGATTACCACCCTTCTCCTTTGATTCATATCATAATTATAAAAGGCGATTAAAATTCCTAAGAATTTCGTCATGTGGATTAGTTCTATTCATTATAGAAATTCAAAATTTAATATCTTTTGTTTTTTAGCAATTCATATGCGCCTGTGTCACGACCTGCCGCATACGACATTCCTGCAATGTCACGCCGTAGTTTACATGGTGGTTATCAAAATGGTGTAGAATCAACTGTTGCTTCAGCATTTTCATCACCACAACAATTTCTATCAACTATTCGAACACAATTAACAAATGGTTATGATGCTGTTCGTGATCGTATAACTAATTTAATTGGTCACCAAGGTGCATCATCACGCGATGCAACAAGTGGTGGTGGACGACATACTCGTACATCGTCACAATCATCAGGTTCTAGTCGAGCGAAAGGTTATAATCTTCGTTCACGTCCTGTTCATTCAACACCACGGGATACTGATACTGATCAACATAATCAACATCGTAAAACAACTAAACATCGCAAAGATCAACATGGTGAAATTGATGAAGAAGAAGAAGATGATTACGATCATGATCACAAACAACCACAACATTTCTTTCATAAAATAATTCATTATGTTAAAAAAGTATTTCATTCACCTATTGATATTTTTGATACAATTTGGGATAAATTAAAAAGTTTACCATGGTGGTTACTTATTCCACTTCTTATATTTCTTGGTCTTTATACTTGTAAGTTATATAAATTATTCTTATTCTTATTTTATTTCTCTTTTTTTTCAGTACCTTTTTTGGCTTGTAAACCATTTGAACGTTTTCATCATCCAAAAGTAGTTGATGTTTGTCGAGATGTTCATGATTATACACAAAATTTAACTAAAAATACATATAAATTTGCTCGTGGTCATACATATGAACGTGGCCTTCGTAATCTAAAACAAGTTTATCGTTCAGCACAAGATGTTAAAGATTCGGTATTAAATTCTTTAAATGATGTATATTACACAGGAAAACGTGCGCTACGTGGTTCTGTTGGTGGTGTTAAAAATCGTGTTAGTGATGCTGTTGAAACAACAGCTGAAAATGCAAAAGAATATTATGATGCTGGTATACAAAAAGTTCATAATCTTATTGAAGAACTCAAACAAGAACGAGAAAAAATTCTTGGAGTGTAAGTTTAATAGATAAAAGAAACATTTATTTTCATTGAAAATTTTTTTTAATTTAGACGACATACATTGAAACCTGATGAAGAAAAAGAATTAGGAGCGGTAAATAAAATATTAAAAGAAAAGTCTTAGAATGTTTTTATTCTGTTTGTTTTAGATGGTTCGAAAATTAATTGATGAATATGCAGCCGATGAAACAGGTCAAGCTGATTATGCACTTGAAGCTAATGGTAAATTTAAAAAAAACTAAATAATAAATTTCATCTAACTTTATTTCTTCTTTTATAAATTAGGCGGAAAAATTGTTGATACTCGTTGTCAAGAATATACTGATGAACCACGACAAAACGTTGTTAAATTTCTTGGTATCCCTATTGTTCATATGTCGAAACAACCTGATATTATTATAAAAGTATGTCTTTTGAATTTTGTACAAATTAGTTGATAAAATAAAAATGTTTTTATAGCATGGACGTATGCCTGGTCAATGTTTTCCATTTAAAGGTGATCATGGAAGTGTTATTGTTCGATTAGCTGTACCTGTTGTACCAACAGAATTTGTACTTGAACATTTATCAAAAAGTATTTCAATCGTTGGACATATTAATAGTGCACCAAATAATTTTACAGTTTATGTATGTAAAAATTAAAAAACGAAAATATTCTTTTCTAATTTTTCTCTTTTTGTTTTTTCACAGGCCTTAAAAGATAAACATGATAGAGAAGGTACTGTTCTTGGTCGATATTATTATGATGCAGAAAATGGTCCAGCACTTCAAAGATTTAAACCTCAAGTATGATTTTTTTTTCTTGTGAAATAAGAAAACAAAATCTAAATATATATTTTGAATTGTTTTTTTTTATTAGATTGCTAATATGCCCGTTGTTGAATATATTGAAATTCAAGTAAATTCCAATTGGGGTAATCCGAATTATACATGTTTATACAGATTTCGTGTACATGGTGATATGCAAACTGTTGCTCCAACAGCTGCATAGAGCTTAATGCATTATTTGTTTTGTTTTTCGAGAAAAAACTTTATTCTATTCTATCACAACGAAAGTTCATATTGAATTACCTCGTTGTGATGTTTATGTATTATTAATCATTGTTTGTTTGTAAAACATAAAAAAGTACTTAGTTTGTTTGTTGTATGATAATGTATTTAGAAAAATGCATTAACAAAAAAAAAAGCGTATGAAATTTAATCTAGACATTCTTTTTTTTCTTATGTCGTATATGTATGTGTCTATTGTATTTGTTCAATCTCGCGGTTTTTTCTTTTCTCACTTTTTTTTGTCTATAACTTGTGTGTCATTGTCAGTGTGCTTCCTTTTCTTTTCTCGTCGTCTAACATATATTTGAAAATAAAAATATAGACATTTTTGCAACAAATAAAAAGGAAAATTTTTGATTTGATTTGCTAACTATGAATAATTCTTGCATTCTGATGAAATGTTTTTCAAAATGACGTAAGTAGGGCAAAACAAGAACTTTTTGTTTATCGATTACAAACTCATTTTGCAATTTTTTCTATATTTCATATTAATTGGTAATTCATACAAAAAAAAATTTCATTTTGAGAATGCAATTTGATTCTTTTCCCCCTAATTCATCCGTATATCTCTGTATACTCCTTATCATTATTAGTAAGTAACTTCGATTGTGCAAGAACATAATAGAATGTAGACGAGAGAGTGAAATATAGATTTTATCGTAAGTCTTGTTTTTTTCTCTTCTGTTCTACTCAACGGGGTAAACTTGCACAATATTTTGAAAATGTTCTTTACCATTTAAAATGCAATACCATACCCACAGTTTTTTCCGTTTATAAAAGCCCTTCAATTTCTTATTTTTGTCTAGATTATTACTGATATATCTGTAGTAATACACACAATGAGTAAAACAACTACTGCAAGTGATACTAAAAGTCATTCAAGTCCAGTTTATCGAATTCCACCTTATCATTATATTCATGTATTGGATCAAAATACAAATGTTACACGACTTGAAATTGGTCCCAAAACATTCATTAAACAAGATAATGAAACAGTTATTCTTGGACCCGAAAAGATGATCACAGTACCGTATGTAAAAAAGAAATGCAAATAAATAAATAATTATTTTAAATCTTATTTCAGACCACGTCATTATTGTGTTGTTGAATCACCTGTAATACGCAATGAAGCTGGAGAAGTAGAATTTGATGAAAATGGTCAAGCTAAACTTATTCATGCTGATTTGGATATTCGTCTTGCACAACCTGATCAAGCACCATTTCCACTTTATCCTGGTGAAGTTCTTCGTCAAGTATAGGATTGAAAAAATTTTGTTTAAGAAATAATATCAATTATTAAATTCTTTTTTAGCCTGTTACTCCTTTAAAAGTTGTACCTGCTAATTCAGCATTACGGCTCAAAGCTGTACTTGATTTTGATGATGAAACTGCTAAAGAACAACGTCGTGCTGGTGATGAATGGTTATTTGAAGGTCCAGCTACTTATATTCCACGTAAAGAAGTTAGTGTTGAGGAACAAATTCGTGCTACAGTTATTGGTTCTAATCAAGCCATTCGACTTTGTGCAAAAAAAGAAATTACTGATCGTACTGGTCAACATCGTGTCACTGGTGAAGAATGGTTAGTTAAAAAAACCGGTGCTTATTTACCTCTTGCATATGTAAGTTAAAAAATTACTTTTATTAATACTAATTAATTATAAACTAAACATTATAGGAAACAGTTGTTTCTGTTGAAAATGCTCATGTATTAACCGATAAAAAAGCTTTACAACTTCGTGCATTAAAAACATTTACTGATGATTTTGGTAAAGAACGTATGAATGGTGAAGAATGGCTTATAACTTATCTTGATACAGAAACACATATACTTAGTGTTTATGAACAATTAGTTGCTGTTGTTGATGTAATAACACTTAATTCTCGTCAATATTGCGTTATAATTGATCCAGTTGAAGATGGAAAACAACAATTAGGAAAAAAAGTTTGTTATCAAAAATTTTTGTTTTGTATTTTAGAAAAGTTAGAATTTTTTTAGAAACTTATTCTTGGTGAAAAATCATTTTTTCTTCAACCTGGTGAAAAACTTGAAAATGGTATTCAAGATGTTTTTATATTAGGCGCAGATGAAGGTGTTATACTTAAATGTATAGAAGCATTTGAAGATCAACAAGCTAATGTAAAACGAAATCCTGGTGATCGATGGATGATTCGCGGTCCAACGTAAGATATGGATTTTTATTTAATTTTGAAAATTAATTTAAAATAAATTTTTAGTGAATATATTCCTCCAACACAAGTTGAAGTTGTTACACGTCGAAAAGCACTTCCACTAGATGAAAATGAAGGTATCTATGTTCGTGATATAAAAACGGGTCGTGTACGGGCTGTTATTGGTGAAACTTATATGTTAACACAAGACGAAGAACTTTGGCAAAAAGAATTACCTAAACAAGTTGAAGATTTATTAACACGTGATGCGTTAGTTGATCGAAATATTCCAACACGTAATAGAACAACTGATAAAAATCAATCTCAACAAGAAACTACTACTAATTCAAAATCAAATGCAGTTAAACGTGATAAATCTAAATTAGTTACATATCGTGTTCCACACAATGCATGCGTACAAATTTATGATTATAAAGCTAAAAAAGCACGAATTATTTTTGGTCCTGAACTTGTTATGCTTGGTCCAGATGAACAATTTACATTACTTTCATTAAGTGGTTCTGTACCAAAAAAACCTAATCAAATTCAATCACTTTGTTTATTATTGGGACCCGATTTTTTTACTGATGTTATTGTTATTGAAACAGCTGATCATGCTCGTCTTTCTCTTCAACTTTCATATAATTGGCATTTTCAAATTACTGACATCAGTGATGAAAAAGAAGCTGCAAAACTTTTTTCAGTACCAGATTTTATTGGTGATGCAGCTAAAGCTATTGCTTCTCGTATACGTGGTGCTGTTGCTGGAACACAATTTGATGATTTTCATAAAAATTCAGCTCAAATCATTCGTGCAGCTGTATTTGGTCTTGATGCTAATCAACAAATTCGACAACATTTTATTTTTCCACAAAATAATTTAGTTTTAACATCAATTGATATTCAAAGTGTTGAACCTGTTGATCAACGTACACGGGATGCACTTCAAAAAAGTGTTCAATTAGCTATTGAAGTAAGAGGAATTATTCTAATACAAATATCTAAAAGTAAAAATAAATAATTTAGATTACAACAAATTCACAAGAAGCAGCTGCTAAACATGAAGCTTCACGTCGAGAACAAGAAGCTAAAGGTTTATTAGAACGACAACGTATTAGAGATGAAGCTGAAGCTGAAGATGTTCGAAAACAACTTCTTCAATTACAAGCATTATCAGCTGCTGTTGAATCAACTGGTCAAGCTAAAGCTGAAGCACAAAGTCGTGCTGAATCACATCGAATTGAAGGTGAAGCAGCTGTTGAACAAGGTATGAATAGAAATTATTGATGATAAAATTTTCATATAAAAAAATTATTTTTATTTTAATTAGCTCGTCTTAGAGCAGAAGCTACACGTATTGAAGCTGAAGCTGAATTATCACGTTTGAAATTAGCACGTGAAGCTGAAATAAAATTTTTACGTGAACAAAATGAATTAGAAATTAATAAAAAAGCTGAAATGTCAAAAATTGAAACTGAGAAATTTACATTACAAGTTGAAGCGATTGGAGCATCAACCATTCAAGCAATTGCTACTTCTGGTCCAGATACACAAGTTAAACTTTTACAAGCACTTGGTCTTCAATCAATGTTGGTTACTGATGGAAATACACCTATTAATCTAATGGGTTTTGGACAAGGACTTTTAGGTGGTTTAACTGGAAATACAAATAAAAAATCTAGAACAGCTACTAATACTTCTAGTAATTATCATATTGAAGAGAATGATTAGATACAATAAATTTATATTTCTTGATGAACAAAACCAAAAAAAATATTGTCTGTTCGTTTATGTTTTAATGTTGATAACTTTGTTCTAAACATTTAGTTTGATTATTTTGTAAAAGTTTACACATGAACAATAAATATGACTATTTACCATACAATATAAGTTCTTATGTTATTTGTTTCAATATATAAGCTTAGTTATATCACATTTTACCATCTTGAGGTCATAGACAGAGCAAACCCACATCCTGGAAGTAAAGAATTTTTGAATCAAATCAAAAAGAAAAGCATATTTTATTTTATAGCCATTTGTTGGATTTCGTTTATGAAATGGAAATTTACCATTTAAAAAAACTAGTGCAGTTCTAAGCCATCGTGAAGTTCAATATATTGATGATCATGAATTGAAGCTTGATCAAGTTATTACTGTGTACTAATGCCAAAAGTACCTTTAAATATTTCTACACGAAGTAAACTTATTGAAAATTACAAAGGAAAAAAAAATAAAGTTATTTTTGATTATTGTTTCTAGCTCATTGACTTGCAATTGAAGGTAACGACTAACCATTAAAGCGGATCTTACGACAGATTCATTAGATCCTGTAAGATTCTCTAGAACAAAATCAAGTTTTCGATGTATTTTATTGTGTTTTTATATGAAGTCGCTAACAAAGAAATGACGTAATCTTGATGCATCCAAAAGAAAAGTTCAAATCCACATAAACTTTCTTTGGTACATTTAAAAAAAATACTCATGAATTATGGATGATAGAACTAGTAGCGTATCCAAGGCCACCGATAAAAACCTCTTGAGGGTGTGGGTGTGTGTTGGTGTCTCTTTTCTTAACTTACACCCATACCCAGCCACACCTTCGCCCTCACACGTATCTACACCCTAAATTGATTTTTCGAGACGAACTAAATATATATAGATAAATATATTACGGTGTGGGTGTCAGTTAAGAAAAGAGACACCAACTCACACCCACACCCACGTTCCGTTCAACCGAAATACTGCTTCCATGAAATCGTCGGAATACCACGGAACCGGCCGTTTCCATGTCGGATTGTTCGACCTGGGCCATCGGTTTGTTCTGTTTTCTTGTTATTATATGAAAGTATATTTGTAAATTTATTCTAGATATATATTTTTTCTTGTCCAAAAACGAAATTTGCAGCAAAATGGCTGGATCATTTATTTTAACTGAAGGAAATGAATTAGCAATAGCTTATTTCAATCGAGCAGAATATGCTATTGCAATTGTTGATGATGCTGGCTTCGTTTACGATAAGAGTATTAAAATATCAGAAAAGAAATGTGCTGATTTGTTTATGTGATGATGAATGTGTTATACTTAAAAGTAGAAAGAATGAAAAAATGTTTTTTGTTCTTGGTGATATTACATGTGCATATGTCTGTATTGAAATGGATTAAGATGCACAAAGTAATTTAGCTGTAAAAAAAGGTGACACTGTATCTATTCAAGGGGTGGGTGTGGGTGTAAGTTAAGGAAAGTGACACCAACACACACCCACACCCAACCTCCGTTCAACCGAAAACTGCTTCCATGAAATCGCCGGAATACCACGGAACCAGCTGTTTCCGTGCCGGATTGTTCGACCTGGACCACCGGTTTGTTTTGTTTTCTTGTTATTATATGAAAGTATATTTATAAATTTATTCTAGATATATACTTTTTCTTATCCAAAAACGAAATTTGGCAGCAAAATGGCTGGATCATTTATTTTCACTGAAGAAAATGAATTAGCAGCAGCATATCTCAATCGTGCCCAACATGCCAATGCAATTGTAGACGATGCTGGTTTTTATTATGACAAAAGCATCAAGTTATCAGACAAGAAACGTGCTGATTTGTTTGTAGATAATGGTGAATATGTTATAGTCAAGAGTGAAAAATGTCTTGAAACAATTTGTATTGTTCGTGGCGATAACACATGTCTCAATGATCGTATTCGACTAAATACCGTTGTAACAGACAATTTACGTGTATATTCTCGTGATTTTGTTACAATTCATAAGTGTGGAAATGTTCCAGATGGTAGCCATATATATGTTTTACCGATTGGTTATTCTGAACACGGATCAAGTAGTTGATAAAGGATGGGATTCTTTTCAAGTACTCTCAAAAACCGAATTGGTGATATTTTTTATTAACTTACATTATTATTGTTTATATATCTATGTTTAGAAAAATTCAGCTATTGTAATTACCCAGGTCGATGAATACGCGATTCGTATACGGTCGTAATACTGAGACAGGTAATACGCTAAAGTACGACGGAATACGGCACGACATTCGTATACTGTTCGTATACGGTCGTTTACGACAGACAATGTTCGACCTGGGACTATTATAGCTACAACAAATCGACAACGTTTAATTGATTTGCCGCTTTATCTTCGTGCTCAATTTATATACGAAGTTCTTATTAACACACCTGATGCTGATGAGCGTTTTGATATTCTTGGTAAATACACAGAAAATATGCAATTGGATGATGATGATCGAATACTGCCACCGTAACCGATCGTTTATCTGCGTGAACGAGAGTATACGATACGGAGAAATACGACCGTAATACTAAGACACGTAATACGTGAAAATACGACCGTATACGAATTGAGTATTCATCGACCGGGGTATGTTCGGCAGCTACTTTATATCGAATTCGACAACAAATGGATGTTATCGACGCCGCAAAAAAAATCATTCATTCCAATGTCTTCGGTTCATCAGCTGTAAAAAAAGAAGATTTTCTATTCGTCTTAAACAACAGAAAATAAAAATTTATCTGTATTTGTTGTTTTTTTTTTGAATTAAATCAACAAAATAAAATATATATTATATTGATCTAAAACTTTTCTAATTATTCTTTGGTACGTGCATCAATATACAAATTTTATTTGAAAAATAATTTATCATTTATAAAAACATTTGTTCTGAACTCTGTATACTCAATAAAAAAATATGAAAGAAAAAAAACGAAATCAATGAAAACTTCCTTCTTAAGAATGGAGTTTGCACTGTACATTTCTCACATAAAGATCGTCGTGTTGTTATTCTAATTGAACAGATGAAACTAGTAACACCAAAATAAAATAATAAAGTTGTTTGATTATCAATCATCAATTTTTTTCAAACGAATTGTTGTTTTATTTAAAAGATTTATGTCATTGGTAGAGATAGTAAAAGCGCATCGTCTGATCTACTTTCAGTTGATAATCAAGATGGTGTTGTTCAACTGCATGAAAACATTTCGGATAATCATATACTATGAATTAGTCTTAAGTATTTATGCAAATGTATTTGACCTCACTACTGTGTGTATGTGTATTATGTCTTTCTCTTTGTCTTTTTACTGTTGTTTATAAATAATTCAAAAGATAAAAGAAAGATTTGATTAAAATATTAAATAAATAGTTTTTGTTGTACAATCAACTGAATGACGAGAAATTTACATACCTTCTTTTTTGATCTTTGGTTGAGATAAGTTAGTCATGTACGAGATTCTATTTATGAAACAATAAATTTCAATTCAATTTTGATTCGCGTCAAGCTCCTTTTTTTATTTTTCATTGTACATATACTCTGCAACATCAGATAATGTTGTATTGGATGATTTTTTTTATTATAAAATGAGAATGAGAAATGATCCTTAATAGTTGATATTTCTTTATATTTAAGAAATATTGTTACGTTATAAATACAACATTTATCATGTTATTCAGTTTATTGAATAAATCAAAACGTAAATAAATTTACTTATACAACGAAGGAAAATAACGACATAAATCTTCCGAATGCACCACTGGTTCTATCGAAGTTATTTTTGTCACCTTAGCACAATTGCGTCGTGTTTCTTCCCTAGTAAAGTCTTTTGTTACAGTTTTTAAATCATCAACATAGACTTCAAATTCAGTCAGACAAGGTACGAATGTCTTTGTTTCATTTAGAAATTGATCAATATAATCTCTATGTGCAGATACGACACCAAGTACAGTCAGATGAGGATATTCAATAATCGACTGTAATAGACAATTTTCAGATGACAATGTCATAAGACCATTTAAATTTTGTGATTTTTCATTCCGAATAAAAAGATGCTTGAGTAACGGAAACGATCGGGCAATTCGCATGAAGAATTCATGTTCGAATGGAATAATATCTTGTATAACTAAATAGGTAACATAACTAAATACAATATTTGGAAAGTTATTGCCAATATCTCGGAGATAATCAAATCCAAAAGGAAGTGAGAAAACGGAGCATGCAGCTCTCACACCATAAATACAATTAACTTCACTAATAACATAATTGACCATACTACTGACATGTTGTTGTCCAATATTTCTTAATTTTATTCGAATATCTTCACTTGATAACTTGCAGGATAAAACAGCTGGATCAACATAAGTACAAATATAGAAAGTGAATGAACGAAGTTGTGGCATATAATCCAAAATATCATGTTGAACATAAGTACCACCAATAACTCTATTTCGACCTTTTATAGAAATATTTAGAGTTAACTTTTCCAGATCTGACATACGACGAAGAAGTAATACAACTTTATCATATTGATATAATGGGCAGGACGATTTTAATGAGAAACATTTTAGATTCAATAATTTATCCTACAAAAAGAAAGAAATGTTTTTTTGATAATCTATAAGATTAAGTCATTGGCATCATTATTTTACACATGATATATCATCTATATTCTATCTGTGAATGACCACAAATGACAAATCTATTAAATTGATTTTCTCATTTTATAGCACAACAAACGAATGTTAAAAGAACAATCAAAGCTTCAGACCGCAAACTTTCGATCATATCTGAATTATTAGAAAAATTGTTATTATAGAAAAACTTTCGTTCCATCCAATGCTGATGATCATTCACATATGATAATATTTGATCAATCATGAAACAGAGTAGTCCAGTTTTTAATGTGAACTATATTCGATAAAATATTATATAGTTATAATTTCTGGCTACAAATTTCATTGGTTCGTTTATTAAATTGTAATTTCTACTACCTACAAACTAAATGTTGATGATTTTGATATATTCCTCAACACGAATATTTTTTTCTCCTTATCAAAATAAAACTTAAACTTTCAATCTTATCTCAATTTTTTGAGATCAATCGTTAACTGCATTGAAATAGCCGTAATCTTCGTGGCATAAATGAAATTATTTGTAACAACTTACCATATTGCGAACACTCTCTGAGTGTGTGTCTATATAATAGACATTAACACACAATGTTGCCAATTTTTTAAGTCGACCATCAAGTAAATAAAGACAATCACCAAAAGTTTCGACATTGATATATAAATGAGTAAGAGTCGAAGATGAAAAAGTAGTCGATGGCAAATAACAAAGTGATAAAGGTGGACATGACCTAACAGATGGTTCTATGATACTTAATTTTTTTAAGTTTTTGAAAAAGATCAAGATGTAAGCATATACATTATCAGTATATATCTTCGGGAAATATTCCTTGTTGTATTTATCATCATTGATAAGAATAAGGTTTGTAATTTGTTCTTGAAAAATAGATCGAAGTGATGATTTATCTAAAGGAGAAAAGTGATGTATTGAAACATATTATTCTTCTTTCATTTGTAACTCTTTTATTATTTCTCAACTAATCAAAGTCATATTAAATGCTTACTTGTAAAATAGTTTGAAGCGATTTCTTCTTGGAAATGAAAAATTGTAAGTTTAGTTAAATTTGGATAGTCAGTAGCAAGAAGAATACGTTCCATAAACATTGGATCAAAAGCAAAACATTTCACATTGTGATGAATTCTTGGTAATATATCACTGCAGAATCGATCGATGATAGAAATATTATCAATGGAAACAAACTTGAGAATGTTGCTGAAAATATTTTCTTGTGCAAGAATGTTAAGTCGTCCATCATTCATATCCAATAAAGAATATAGTATATCGATATTGTTCAAGTACTTCAAAATAATAAGCAATATTTCATTAGGTAAATCCAGAAGATGAGCATTCGATCGGTTCATATTTTATTATGAGTATGATGTTTTTGACTAAGATAAAGCTTTATATATACATACATATTTGTTCATTATTTTCATCTCATACTTTGACCTCAAACAGAATGAAAATTTAGCAATGTGATTGATCTATTTCAAGTTAAATCATCTTTTTAGACGCTTTATTCGTTAATTCAGTCTGTTTGGACGTTTTGTGTCAACGTTAGATTGAAGGATGACACATTGAGAAGAAGAAAGGATATATTTCTCCTATAACAGAGTTAGCTGAACTTCATTCATTTAGTATTTTTTACATTCGAGATTTTTACATTTTAAAATCAAATATGAAGTGTTTGATGATGATTCGATCGTGCACTGTTAATCTATATACGTGTCGGATAAAAAAACTTTTTTTCCATTCTGTGACCAATCAGATAAAAGTGACTGACCTGGATCCTGTCTATTATATAATAGACAGGGTCAGTTTGGGTACTGTTATCTGATTGGTCACAGACTGGAAAAATTATATATATATATTTTTTTTTTTAATTCTATGACCAATCAAAATCAAAGAAAAGTGATCGGACTGAACCGTATCTATTATTATATAGATGATATCTGATAATACCATGTATTCTAGCAAAACAACTCGCCGATAGACCAGATGCAAATAATCATTAGGAATTACGCGATTATGCTTCATCACGTTGTGCGCAAATGATCAGGTAAATATAGAGTTTAAACAAATAAAATTTCATTTGTAAACATGTTTTTTCTTCTTAATTAGAATGTTTCCAGCTAGTATTCATCGTTTACAAAATCGTATTGTACGAAATTTTCGTCGAACATTTCAAAGTGAACATATCACTTATTACTCACTATGGAGCACTTGCTGATTTATGTGAAATGGATCAAGAAATAAATAGATAAAGTATAAAGTCTAATAAATTCTGTACATTTTCATTTATTTAGACAATTGAACAATACGTATTTTCTATAACAAGAACATTTGGTGATCGAATTGTAAAATCATGTGGAAATCTATCACTACCACCGATTGATAAAATAATGTTGATCGAATTAATGGTGTTACATCGGTAAATAATATCTATTTATTATATAATTAATTTATATAATTTTTATATCTTTTGTAAAAATATAATCCAACAGCTTACCGTACATTATGTTCAACACCTAATGATCTTGAACATTTTAAAGAAGACGTTGCTATTTTTTATGAACAACGTTTATATACACAAGTTATCCAACTTCAGCAACAATCAAGACCCACAACTTGACCTACGCAAGTGTAGATATTTGTTATTATGTTATAACAAAATAAATTTAAATATATATTTAGAATATATGTTGGTGGTCATCTTTGTAATTTAATTAATCCAATAAGTGGAACAAAGTAAATTCAATAATATTTAATTTATTTAAATAATAAATTTTTTATTTCAATTAGTTATTGAATTGTAACTGATACTGATCTTCAATGTTTTTTTGAAGGTACAGAAGTTGGTTAGTAAAATTTGATTATATACTTAATTATATGTCTCGACTAAAATTACGAATAAAATTAAGAATATAAACGACTTAAATTGAAATAAAATAAATTGAAATGAATCAATAGCTCTACTCAATGGTCAACCAACTCCAGAAGTTGTTCAAACGGCTTCAAATGATTTACCAACAATTTATCCATTATCAGTTACAGTAACAGCGACAAGTACACTTTATATAATAACTTTTCCACCTGAAATGGATAATGTACTATTACTTACTTGTATTTCAACATCAACAAATCCTCCTAATGTTACTGAAATAGTTCAAGGTGTTGCATCAGGTTCTCAAATAGCATTTGAATTTGATGGTCAATTAACAGAATATATTGGTTTTACAAATAATAGTATAAATTCATCAAAACTTCAATCAACATTTAATGAAGTATTTAGTATTCAATGTCCAATATCTCTTAATAACATTTAAGCAACTACATCAATCGTTTATCTTGAAAATTTGAACCAGATTGTTATTATGATGAAACAAATTTGATTTATATAATTTGATTTACAGTTTTTTTAATCTTGCCATTTATGACAATAGATTTGTAAATTTTTTTTAGATAAAAATTTTAAATTTTCTTAAATACTCATATGAAAATGGCTGCAAGTAATAATGATGGTAAATATGAAACTGTTCCTGTAGCTGATAAACATGCCGGTGATGAATTACAAGTTGAAGATCAGAACGACGAGGACCATAATACTGTTGTTCTACCAGCTCAATTATTGCGAGATATATTCGATTCATTTAAGAAACTTTTCATCATCATTCATCATCAAGTACATGATAAATCTCTTGTATGCGTTGGTAAAACGCAGAACGTTAGATTAGCTCTTCCTGGTCCAAAAATGAAAATGAGTCGTGTAATAAGGAAAAATTTGAATATATTATTAAATGATGTTGTGACATTTGACGCATGCCAAAATATTATAGAAGGTGAACGTCTTGAAGTCGCACCCATTTATGATACCATTAATGGATTAACAGGAAGTCTATTAAATATTTTTTTAATACCATATTTTCGTATTAAAAATCCTGGTCGACCGGTGAATCAAGGTGAATTTTTTATTGTTCGTGCAGCTATGCGTGCTGTAGAATTTCAAGTTATTAAAACTGTACCAGAACCGTATTGTATTGTTGGACCCAAAACAAAAATAGTTTGTAAAGATGTTCCAGTTAAACGTGAAGAAGTGAAATCATCGTTGAATGAAGTTGGTTATGATAGTATTGGTGCTGTAAAAAAACAACTGGCATCAATTAAAGAAATGGCTGAATTTACATTACGACATCAACCATTAATTAAACTAAGTGGTGCTACACTGGCACAACGTATTCTTCTCTATGGACCACCTGGCACAGGTATAACAAAAAGAAATCTTATTTTATTAAGAAAAAAAATGTTTTATATTTTAGGGAAAACATTGGTCGCACGTGCCGTGGCAAACGAAACAGGTGCATCATTCTTTTTAATTAGTGGACAAGAAATGATGTCTAAATTAGCTGGTGATGAAGAAGTAACATTAACTAAAGTTTTTGAAGAAGCTGTAAAAGTAAATACATAATAGTTTTTTTTAAATAATTAAAATTAAGAAATTATTCGGTATTATTTTATTTATAGAAATCTTCAGCCATCATTTTCATTGATGAGCTCGATGCTATCGTACGAAAACGTCAAAATACACATGGTGAAGTTGAATGTTGCATAGTATCACAATTATTAACAATAATGGAGAATCTTAAACAACATTCACATGTTCTTTTTATGGCTGCCACAAATCAACCAAATGACATTGATTCAAAACGATTTGGTTTTAATCTCGAAGTTGATTTGAACATAGCCGATGATGATGTTAATGGTCGTTTAGAGATCCTTCTTATACATACAAAAAATTGGAATCTACATCATGATGTTAATTTAGAACAGATTGCTAAAGAAACACCCGGTTATGTTGGTGGAAACTTAGTCTCATTATGTTCAGAAGCTTATTTACAACAACTTCGAGAAAAAAAGGATATTTTTGTTCCAGGTCAAGATACATATCCTGTTGAAAAACTCGATTTATTATGTATTACTGAAGAAAATTTTCGAGTTGCATTGGAGCTATCAAAAAAAACAGTTCTACGCAAATCTGTTTCAAAGAAAAAAGACTGATCCTAAGTTGTCAGTAAGCATTTAAGAACTGTATTCTTTTTATATTCTGTTTTCATCATTTGCTGTTGTTCACTTTTCTTCTTTTTTTATTTCCTTTAACATCAAATAAAATGTAAAAAAAAAAGACAGAATGATGAAAATAACATGTCTTCATATATTTTTTTTTTTCGATTGGGCGAGCTTGAGGTAGTGGGTGTGGATGGAATAGAATACACACACGAACACTCTCGTCCACGCCCACCCTTCATTATCAGTATGAAATTCGTCATCAACATTAACATCAAATATTAGTTCATTACTTGGTTCTTCTGGTGAACCAACAAATGTTGCTTCCAATTAATCATCTAATGCTTATTCACCATATTCAAATCATCCAACACAATCACCAGTTATGCAAATCAATTATCAATGTAAAAAACAAACAAAATAAAAATTATAAGAAATATTTCTTTAAAAATCCTTTTTGTTTTTATATAGCATAAAGTTCTTATATTCTAACACCAGTTGTATCAAGTGATAGTTTTTCTTCATCATCGAATAATAATACTTCATCTGACCAATCTTCATTTGAAAATAATGTTTAATTACCAACAATAAACATTACACCTGTGACACCAAGTGCACAATATGCACCAGTGCCAACTTCACTTCGTTAGTTTTTTCTTCATCTTTTCTTGATAAATATAAGAATTAAATGAATAGACTTTGACTCAATAACAAATAATGATTGACATACAGAAGATTTGTATGCTAGAATCAAAGTTTCAAATAAAGATGAAACAATTTATGTTGAAATGATTGGTGTTATTCAAAGTATATCTGTAGATTTTCTATTAAAGAAGAAAACGAAATCAATGAAAGTTTCTTTTCTTAAGCAGGGAGTTTGCACTGTACATTTCCCAGATAAAGATCGTCATGTTGTTATTTTAATTGAACAGATGGAACTAGTGACACCAAAACAAAACGATAAAGTTATTTGATAATCATTTATCTATTTTTTTTCAAACGAATCGATTTTTTATTTAAAAGATT